GCTTATCTTTTCAGGTGAGTTCGAACAAATCGGTCAATCAAACGCGGTCACTCAATTGGTAAGTTTACCTTGTTCTATTACGGTTTTTAGATGCTCCTATCATTGCGTTTACGCTCAGAAATTCAGCAATGAGCGTTGAATTAAATACTTCTGACCTTGCTCATGATGTTTATTTGATGGTCTTGGAATCCACGAATTAGTAGTTACTCATTTCTCCATCTCAATACAGGATGAATTAAAAAATGCCTAGCATTAGGTGGGGAGAGTTTTCGCTACAGCGGTCTTCGTATACTTATTTAATACAAGAATATCGTTAAGAGGGTAACATTTTGATATTTACTTATATTAAAGACATCTTTTGCAATAATTACAAATAATTCATTTTAATAATAATTTAACATAGCAATATAGTTCATTTTATTCACCCAGTGAATTTGTTGGTGAACGACAAGACCTGTAACTGCGCTACTTATTATTCAGAATCACAATGTTGGAGATGCGTCAGCTGGGGGTAGGTAATCTAAATGCAATAGCAATCCCACCACCTTAAAATGCGAAATCTCACCTTGCCAAAGTTTCGCTAAGGATAGTAATCGTTAAGCAATATAACCGCATGAAATTGTTCTCCAGACAAAAAGATTTATGACCATATATAATAATGCAGATACTAGATATGGTAAATGTAGTTCGCGGCAAAACGGCAATAAAGATTACTTCCGACAAAAAGATTGAGAAGCTAACCTCACACCTCATTAGATCACAAAAAGCAATTGAAAGGCGTCTTTATACGGCACTGTGAAAAAGACGAAGAAGTACAATGCAATCGATATTTTTATTAGACCCTAAAGTGGTTATACGACGAGCTTTATGGAGCAAACTTGGGTTTACTCGGTAAATATTTTTCAAAACCCTCCAATGTGCTCATTTCAACATTACTGTCAAATATGAACTAGTTCACTTCCTTTCGTCAATCCATTGTACCTATTTATCGACGCGGTGTGGATAAACAACACTATATATAAGTTTCGAGGAAACTTTCCAACTTTGCAAAAATACATCATCTCTTATAGGTGTGTAGGATGTCAGATATTTGCCCTAACCGACAAATGTACTTCCATTTATCTTTCTATACATTTTATTTGATTTACTCAAATATTTCCCGACCGTATCATTTTTCGTTCCATTTTCGTCGAAATCTACATTATTCAAATTGCTAACGTATGAACGGCTCCTTGAAGATCTTGAATGTCTAATTAAGTACATTTATAACTTCGTATTATGTAGTACACATCTGGATGATATGCTAAAATAGTAAGCTTCAATCCGGATTTAGTACTAAGGTTAAATGCTTGAGAGAAATTATGAGATCCGCTAAAGCTTCGAATAGATAATGCCGTTAAGCCATTTACATTTTGATGAGTTTGAAGTTTCTTTCTCCCCAACGAGTTTTGCGGTAAATGCGTCTGTATTCATATTGAAATTGCCTTGGTTAAGTTGTTTATCAACAGCTAAACTTAAATGTAATTGTCATAATGGCAGTGACACTTTAGATTTGTGGTTTTTCGTAATTGCAAGACGCTTTAACGAAAAGTAGGGCTTCACTAAATCTATCATCCTTCTAAAGCTGCGAATATACGTACTATTTGCGGTTTATATACTGACGGTGTAAAACGGTTTTATTTTAGAAATTACGAATCACAAAAGTAATCCCCCTATACCGCACAATTCGAATTTTCCAGTGCTGGAAGTTTTTGTTTAACGGTCTACGGAGTTTCAAATTGTGTTCCTTCAGCACCGATTAAATTATTGGGAATTTTACACGTAGTCAAATGGGGTGAGTACACAGGACTTTTTTCTGGCTTTCGGACCAGCTTTTTTCCAGAGATCTTGTCTCTTCTTTCAAATTCTCTTATTAGCAGTCCCCTGAAGAAAACCCTCATCACCGCCTTGAATTTCGGCTTGCTATAATCTTGGTGTTTTTCATCCTGAGCGAATGAGTTCTCTACTGCAGTGGCAGGCCCTTGGTTTTCAGTGAAATTTTGAAAAATGTAGGTCTCGTCGTAAATTATCACTTTTTTTAGGAAATCATCCCCTGAGGTGGTTTCCAAAATGTCAGATGCCTCTAAAAGTAGAAAATCGATCGCCATCGCCTTGAGTTTCCACTTTCTTACCTCGACTTTTTTCCGATCGGTATTTCACTGGGAAAACCTTTGTACAGGTACACGTACTGTCGAAATTGACAGTACTTCCCCTGTTCTGCCAGTAATTCTGTGTACTGCTGGATACTATGTACTACTAAATCTTGCCGATGTACTGCGATGTACTACCAGGTCCTGTTTGCATATTGTTATGACCCACGAAAAGAAGGGCCATCTCATCGACACCGTTTTTAATTAATGCAACGCTAAAAGATACTATGTACCTATATGATTATTAAAGGAACATCTAATTCCTTGTATTTGTTATTTATACAGGGTCCTGCAACAGTGCGTCGGTCTTTTCTAGCCCATACCTCGTAAAGATATAGAAAAATCTTATGTGCAAATGTCAACTGTAGTTGGTTGCGCATCTACTAAACTATTTTTGAAATAATAATAAATGATTTTTTTAAATAGAACACCCTGTATATTTTTACTTGTTTCGATGTCATTTTAACCTTTACAATAATCTACATTGAACCCTATTCATTTTTTGAACTTTTTTTGCTGTTGCCATCTTATTAATTTTTTCCGAAAAATTCCACATGAGCAAGCTTCACTTTGATGCATCGTAGCATAGTGTAAGCTATGATTATAGCAACCTTGTTTTTTGAAGTTAAGAAATAAATTTGAGAAAAATGGATTTAGTAATACAGGGTGCTCACAATAAAATGTCAAAAGTGCCATAAATATTTTTTTTAAATGGAGGTACCAAGTTGTGATAATAAAAATCAAAAGAATGGCCGAAGGTAAAGAAATTCGCAAATTAATTGTTTGATGCAAGTGTACTCCCTATTTCGAAGTATAATAAGAACTACGAGGTTTAGTCATACGTCCCTTATAAAAGCGAACACAAAATACTATCGAATAGTGAAATAAAATAGTGCAAAAAAATAGTTGGCACTTTGAAATTCGGAAAATTTACCACTGTGTACATCCTGTATCACTAAATCGAACTTTCTCATTATCAAAGTGTTCTCGGATTAAAATTCTTGCTCAAAAATATTTCGTAACTTCAAAAAACAAGGTCGCCACGATTTATTTCTATTTTTTATTTTTTTGCCTTTATTTTTGAGTGGGCGGGATTTCAGCCAAGGCTGCTCTACCAACCCAACCCACTATAGTTTTACAAATATCCATGCCCGAACCCGAATTGAACCAGGGACCCTTTAGCACCACAGTTCAGCTTTAACTGAACTGCGCACACGGGCCGACTATAAAAGTGGGGCTCGCTTATGGGAAATTATCCGGAAAAAAAATAATAAGATGACATTTAATATAAATATACAGGGTATCTCTATTAAAAAAAAATCAGTTATTTATTTACACCGTGGATTCAAAAGTAATTTCTATAGATGCGCAACCATCTGACACTTGCACAAAAGGATTTTGTATATTTTTTACCAGCTCTGATCTAGGAAAGACCGAAGCGCTGTTGATTGGCCCTGTATATGTTATATATGTATTATATACCAACTTGTTCAGTTATCTTGAAACGATTTAATAACTTGGAGAATCATATTTTTGGAAAAGTGTCAAAAAAAGTTGGGAGTTACTCGGATGACTTTGATCTTGACCTCCAAGGCTATAGCCGTTTCAAAAATTTTAATGCGACCTTCTAATTTTGAACTTGGTAATGAGAAGATCGGCAAATTTTACTGTTGGACATTGGACAGTTTCTTATCATCAATTGCTTTTGTGCAGCAATTAAAGTAAAAATAGATTAGAATATGTCTCTTGGGTTTACGATGGTAGGGATGATTAGACATGCCCCAAAAAGGTCAGAAGCGATTAGCCCCCTTTGGGTATGAAACTTTTTTTCCAAAAAAGATTTGATCAAATTATTAAATCGTTTCAAGATAAATAAATCACCTGGTATGTTATATACCGTGTGTCGCAGGTTGGCCGTACCATAGGCAAACAGATCTCCCTCTATATTTGCGTTTAAAATTCTTCCACCTCTTTTGTCTGATATTTCTAGTATCACCTTACCTTCTTTGTTGCACTATTTATCCCTTCTATTTCTACCCTGTCTTTCTCTTCCCATCTCTATCCATTTTCCCTTATTCCTGTTTTGGTTCATCTTGCTGGCGCAGTTGTATTTTTTCTTCCCTTCAGTGAAGTTTCTACAGTCGCGTCGAGTTACTTTTACTGGCTTCGTGTTATCACTGATAAAATGGATTTATTGTTAGGGCTTTACCATAATTATTTATCTTTATAGTGATTCCTCTTTCTCTTTGATGTCTTGGTGGCTCCATTGAATCGTTTTACGGATAATCTTCGCTCAAGTTTTACCTTTAACTTCCTTATGTTCTTCCTAATGTTGGAGATCATTGAAATTAAATAAATATGGTAACGGATATAAAGGAAGTGACCATTAATTTAAAATTTAGAATATATCAAAAGGGCAAATACTTTTACGACGTTAGCGGTATAGACCAACAAATTCGACTAGAAGAAGATTCCTTAGATTCCTTTGACCCCTTAGATTCCTTAGACTTCTTAGACTCCTTAAGCTTCTTAGACTCTTAACTCTTAGACTTAAAAGGTTTCTGATCTGTTGCTTGTAAAAATTAAACACAACGTGACCATACATTTTTTTGTTGAGTACATTGACGTAAAAATGAAATAATCATAGGGTTCCACTCTACGTTTCCTTTTACATATGTTATCATTTATGATCTATATGATCTTAGTGGAAACTCTTTTCTGAATTAATATGAACTGAATATCACATCTAATAAACATACAATTTCTACAAAAAATAATTACCATGGAGGTTTTCTTTATTGAATTCGCAACAAAATAACATTTAATGGGAATTTAATTTTTATGTAACAACTCCAATTTAAGTGGTTTTCTAAATGTCAAAATTTATCCAATACAAGGCGGAAAGTTGGCAACACATCCATAAGAACAATTTAAAAGTGTTCTAATTTTATTAAATGTTGTCTTCATATTAGAGTATGAAAGTAAGATCAACGCTTAAAATTGATCAGCAGATAGATGACTTGTTCAAAAATAATAGTGAACAAGGAATTTTTGTGCAAGGCCGCCTGTGCCACTCCACAAAAATTCCTGGATTCTTAAATTGGCAGTTTGAAAGTTTCAGGCCCTTCTAAATCCCTGCAGTCTTTCTTCTCATGGTATTGTAATTATGTGTAATTCCTAATTTTAGCTAACCTAAGATGAACGGCGACTTCGAATTTGGTATCAGCTCATTTTATTTCATCTCTCTTAACAATGTTAACGTGTATACCACCCTTGGGAGCCATTAGAAAATATTTGGGATCAATTTTTAACGGCAGAATAGTCTTCTTGTTTAGAGTGATTTTGAAATTAGCTACGATGTACGCAATTGCGATTTTCACCTGAATGTGCCCCAGCCTCTCACCTAAAATGGCAGTGTTCAATTTGCTTTAGTGCATAATCCATTACCCAAACATCGCCTTGGTCCGCTACCAAACGACAAAAAAGGACGGTTAATGCCTTTGTTTTCGGTTGAAAATCTTTCCGGTCGGAACTGATTGGGATCTGAATAAAACTTTTGATCGCGTTGAATGCCGTAGACCGGTATGAAAATGGGCATATTTTTCGTCAAGGTGACATTTGGTCCCTTCCCCAGACCTAAGGGAGAAGGCCACTGGATTGTTTCTGTACAAATTTTTGCCATGTATGGGAAAGGCGGATGTAGTCTCAACGTTTCTAAAATCATTACGTTAGTTTGTATACTGTATTTTTATTAGAACCTTGAAGAACATTGTCCAGGTACTCCAGTTCGAGTATATTGTCGTAATCAAACTTATTTTCGTGTTTGGACAGAATGTCATCGATCTGTTGCCGAAGTGTTTCCTGCACGTCAGTGTGAACTGCTAATTCGTACAGTATATAACTTGTAGCAATGGAAGTGGTTTCCACACCATCTCCAAAGAAGCCTCCAGCATGGGCAGTTAGATCGTCCTCTGTGAAGGGACGACTATCTTTTATTGGTTCTCGGATAATATCCAGAAAATCGCCATATACGATGCTATTCAATTCTCTGTATCTTATTGTTTTAGTGACCATATTTCGTACATATCGGGTTAGTTTCTCTGGGAACACTCTAAAAATTCCTCCTTGACTTGTGCAAATATTAATAGGAGTAGCTAATCACCTAACTTCGATGAAGCTTGAAAGTGACGGTAGTACGAAGAAGATAACGTGTTTCAATGCAATTATAGTAGATTGTGGAAACATTTCGCCGACCATTTTTTTCAGTTCCCCTTTTTTGCTGTCAAACGAGTGTCCTGCCACTCCAAATGTACAACTTGCTATGAGATCGACTGCAAAGGCCGAAGCCAGTTCTTTGGCGTCGAATCCGTCCAACTGGTTATTTTCTTGTCTGTTATTTAAATACGTTATCATAGCTTTTCCCACTTCATCCATTAATGGGAACATCGTTTTCAGCTAAACAAAGTTAGGTTTATTAAAATAATACTCAATAATACGCATCGAACCTTTTTGCTAGTGAAACAGCGGGATAGTTGACTTTTAGTTTGCTTCCACTGCTCTCCTCTCAACGTAAAAACATTCTTTCCCATTATCAGATCGACTTTTTCGTCGATATAAAAATCATTGTCGTGAAACTTCTTAAAGTCCTTAATCAAAATGTCTTTAATCAGTTCGTAATCCCTCACAACGATTCCTGGGGTTCGCGATTTATAGAATCCTACATACGTGTGGTTCGGAAACGCGCTAGAAGTTTTTGAAAGTATCAGGATAAAACCACCTGGTTCCTTACTTGTAAATTTCCGCGCAAATTTGTCCCAACGACTTACTACCGGTTAAACTTTCTCCCATGTTTCCAAATAGGAGAGACACTGGTAAATGTGGAACTCCGCGTTTCTGCCAATATTGATAATTGGAAGACACGTATTTATAAACTACAATTAAGAACGTTAAAAGTAGCAAAAGAATGCAGATCGTCATGTCGGCAATTGTTAAGACGTTACTTGAGTAAATTATTTTATCATTCGCTGCTTTACTATATATGTGACCTTACAATTGTATAAAGGACATACTTTAATGTTATAATTTATAATAGCATCATTTTGTTACTCAATGAAAGGTAATTTATGAGAGATATACATGCGGTGTACTTTGTAATCGATAAGTGAAAATGTAAAGTGCTTCAAATGACTGTTATAGTTTTCTCCACAAACAAAACACAATCAACGTGTGATGTATCACCAACGTTAAACTTAACGTGCACGTTATCTGTCAGAAAACGTTATTTTGCGTAATTTAGTATAGGCAAAATAACGTTTTCTACAGATAACTTGCACGTTAAGTTTAACGTTAGTGATACATCACAGAACTGAATAAATAACGCAAAGTAAAAATAAAAATATAATAAATCAATTTTTTAGCGGATAACCTGCACGTTAAGTTTGACGTTTGTGATACATCACAGTGCTGATTAATAGTAATTTGTTTTATAATAGAGTCAACGGGAGTAAAATTTTGGTCAACGATACTTGACAAAAATTCCTTTGTGAAGCGTTTAATTCACTTTTGTTTAATACATGATAATTCTGTGACTTGTTTGATTAGGTTCCCCAATGATTATGATGGCTGTTCGGGTTAGCATTTCACTTTCTCAGAAACGGGATACTGACTGTGTTCTTTTCACCTGATAAATTGAATGTGCACGTTTCAATGAATGTAAACGGCGAAAAACCTACTGGTAATGGTTTTACGTAACAATAAAAGATGTTTCTTCTAATCGACCTGCACACAACCTCGTTTATTTCTTCTTCTTCGTAATTATAGGTCAGGCCACCTGCACTCATACGTTCCATCTCGTTGTTCTCCGGCCGTTGCGGAAACACTGATTCGTTATCTCGCACAGAGCGTTGTTATTAAATAATTCCAATTAATTTATTTGATAACGCCTTTACAAACTATTTGGCTAGATAAGACTTTATCTTACATCCACATTATGACTAATATGTGCGTTCCAAAAATATAAACAATTACTAACTTTACAATTAAAAACAAAAACTAATATCAAATGACAATTTAACAAATGAAATACTAACAAATATAGAGGGCATTCTATTGAAATAAATATGCATGATCTTATAACTGTTTAGTTAATGACCCTGTATAATATTTTTTTCGTCCGTGAGCTATCATATACGGTGTGGTCCAATTTCGATGGGATTAAATGGGTAAGCTGCCGTCTTTTGTTTTTCCCTACAGAGCAAAACTGAAAAATGGCGGATTCCTTCAATTTGTTGTAACTCCTTTAATTTTGAAGCTTGAACAAAAGTTAATTTATTTTAAATGTAAATTATAGTTTGCCATGCTTCTAAAAAATTGCTTTATTTTACGAGCTTTCCGAAAATGTATGTTCTCTACAATAAACTGTTGATCTGCTTCAAACGTTCTTTCTATATTTTCCTGTAATTCTTCCTCAGTTATATAGAAGGATGTTTATAAATTTTATTTTTCAAAAAAATCCAAAAACAGAAATTCAATGGGTTTAAGTCGAGCTTTATTGGTCTCTGCGTACCCATCCAATTATTTGACACGAAATGATTTAAATTTTAAATAATTTGAACAATTAACGCATTATGGGCTAGGGCACCGTCTTGCACAAAGATAACCGTTCCTATCTCCTCTAAAATAATATTATGGAGTAGATCTTTCAGATTGTACTCTCATGTTTGCATCAGATCTGAGTGCCTCTGTATAATATTTTAAACTATGTCGTTTCAGGCCACACCCCACATTAAACCCACATTTTTCTTGGGCTCGTTTAAATATAGTTAGATGCGGGTTTTCATTTACCCAATAGCGGTTATTTTATTTATTAAAAATTCATCACTCCGACCCCATATTCCTTCCTAAGAAACCCATGACAAATCTCGCGCCATTTAAGTAAATCTTCAGATTCTAAATATTGGTTCTTGTGGTACTTATATGATTGGCATTTCTACGTTTTAAAATTTTTAATGTTTTAGTCCTCGAAACACCAACATCTCTTGCAATTTACCGTGAAGAAGCTTCGTGCTTTCCTTCTACACTTCTTACAACAAGAGTTCCTTCATCTTTGACAGTGTGATTTTCATTTTTTCTAAGTTTCTAAAATTTCTAATCTAAAATTGTATATGTTTAACACATAATATCATTTAATAACTGTAATAAATAACAAGAATACACTGACTAAACATCACTTTACATTTGGTTGTATCTTTCCGGGAAATTTTAAAATGTTACTAACATGAAGAATGCATCAGACAAATGTTTTTCGACAAACAACATTTCCAAAAAAACAAACTACAGCTTTCAAATGTTTTTCATAGACGACTATATATTTTTTGTTTTTTATTTTCAGTAAATATGTACTTACAAATAAAAAAACTTATTGTAGAAAACTTAGTATTGACATATCATCAATTTACGGAAAGCTCGTAAAAGTGGCAATTTTTTTACCATGGCCAACTATAATTTACACTTAAAAAAAATTAACTTTTAGTTACAGCGTAGTTACTAAAAGGGCTAGAAACAAACGACTGAATAATGCTAAAGCGATTTTGTTCTAGCTTTAAAAGTAAAGACAAATTGGAGGAATCGGCCATTTTTCAGTTTTGCTAAGGAAAAAACGAAACATTTCTGGTAACGGTAATGGAATAAGCATTGAAGGAAGACATTTTAGTTTATCTGCGCTAATGAGAAAGTTTAATCCCATTGAAATTGAACCACACTGTACACAGGCGACGGACGAACAGGTCCAAAATCATGTACCCGCTGTTTGTCGCTTGTTAATAATACGCAGCTGAAATACGCATAATGTAGACCCAGCCTTACACACGTCTTTTGAAGTTACCCCTTCATGCTAACATTTTTCCTTACTTTCAAAACTTTTTTTCGAAAACCACTTGGAAGTAATTTTTACTTACCTATGTACTTAAAATGTAGATTATGACACATTGTTATGCATATTACTTGAAATTGTAGAATTGGTATTTGCAAAATATGGATTACTAAGAATGCTGTAAAACCAAAATTAAAATCTTTCTTTTATTAGAACCGAATTTCATACTTTCATGTACAGCTTTCAAAGAGGACGCAATAAAATATTCAAAAAATTCAAATGAATGCGAGTCTTTGTACAGAACACAATACCTTCAGAATTCTATTAATGTCTTTCTACCCCAAGAAAAATTTTACTGATGAAATACTATAAGAAACTTGAAGACTGATTTTCAATGCATTTTTTATGCAAGCAATATACGACACTATTAAATCATCAAGGTATTTTAATGGTGCAAGCGGCTCAATTGTAATTTATATTTACGACTTTTATGTTACAGATAATGTGTAATAAATGTCTGAGATCTATGCCAACTTTTGCAAAATTAACGCACCGATAGCAAGCGTGCCAACTATTACTAATAATCGAGCTCATAGGTCAATTTCCATTCTTATAATTCAGTCTGCATCTTCGTATAGTATACAGAAGCTACTAGGTTTGTCTAGTAAATATCTGTAAAATGGAAGGGCCAAAAAGATCATTGTGAAAACAATTAGAATTAGTGTGTAATGCTCAACTCAAAACAAAAATAAAGACAATGGATTTTGTTATTTCCTTTCGGGGCTAATTAAACACGTTTATTGGTTTTGAACCCCATCTGATGCATCTTATTGTTCTCGAATTAAAGACTAATTTGTACCCAAATTAGAGTTTCATTGTTTAAACTATTTATACATTATTTAAACAATTTTTTTCTAAATAAACAAACATTTTTTTGTAAACAAATTATATTGTTAGGAAGTCGTCTGAGCCAGGGCGCAAGTTGGGAGGGAATATCGGGGTCGAAAGAATACACTCTGCTAAATTAGTAACGATCCTCGAGATCATTTATAATTTTGTATTGCTGTCTGCCTACTTGCCCGTGTGTCTGTCTGTCCATGTGCACAACAACAATAACTGTTTAGAAACGCCCGATCGCTTTGAAAATTAGTAAACGCGGTCTTAAGAATATAAAAAAGGTCGCTATTGTTTTTCAGCGACGTAAACTATTGGCCGCCCGAATATGAATAGTTTTTTTTAAAGTAGTATCTTTTTTTAATACATTTACATTATAACTCTTAAACTAAACTCTATCAATATATTTGAGAGGACGTCTAAGGGCATAATTAGTTGACAGTTCATTATGCGCTTTCATTAAACCCTAGGACATCATACTGCTTTATATCTCATATGACAGATACGAGTATAATTAGCATATAATAGGCAAATGAAAACTAAATACATTTAATTAATACGTATTTGATATTTTGTATTGACAGACGTCTGGCAATCAAACTTTTTTCAGCAATGTGCTAGCGTCCTATAATTTTTTCTCTCCAATATTATTTTAAAATTGATAGCACACGTTTATTAATAAACTTCTGTCTGCAGTGTTATCAAAATTTGAAAAAAATTACAAAGAAAAGAACGGACCGCTCAACAGACGTATGATATACGTTTATACGTTAGTTTTAACATCTGTAAAGAGAAAATTGCGGCGACAGACGTTTAAAAATCATCGCACAAAATCTGTCGTTATCCCTCGGTCTATATATACCTACTCGTATTTTTGAACAAAAAATCCTCGTAACTTATTAATAAATCAATGCATAAATATGAATCAAGAGGACTGAATCTCCACATCCCACTTCATCGCCTACCTATTACCAGTAAATCGCCACGAGTGCGGGGCATAAAACTGTTTATAGGTACTGTTCCAGTTCAAAAAAAATTAAGATAACTTCCAAAAGAAAAATGAGCGTATAATCTTTAAGAGCTTTAATGTGTTTGATGTTAAATCTTGTTTTTATAATTTTTTTTGTCTTTGTTTATGTGTATTGTAGGGAATATTCTAGAAATCCCGATAGACTTTGAGGGGACATAAAAGAGTAGTCATTGGCAATAAGAAACGTAAGCGGATG